TTATACTGGGTCGTTGTTGTTGTTGTTGTTGTTGTTGTTGTTGTTGTTGTTGTTGTTGTTGTATATGATTAGTTGACCTTTATGCTTTAAATATTACTACAATTTTATCTAACATCAAATTATTTATTTAGCTCTTGTAGAATATACATTAGTCAGTTACAATTTTGACTTGGTCGGTGTTATGATCCCTGCAATTGAACTGAATAATTAGGCTAAATAAGTAAGTGTGGTTGTCAAGGATCGATGGGGATGTTGAAGAAAAAAGCCGAGGATTTAGCATTGGAAATGAATTACTCAGACTGAATGTGGATTAATGAGCTTCAAGGGTGAAGATTGTGCCAGCTCAGCAGCAATTCTGTTACATAAGCTAACAGAACGCAAAGAGGAGCATATACCCGATAATCCAAATTCCTTTCTTCTCTTTCTTCTCCTCCTCTTCTTCTTCTTCTTCTCTTCTCTTCTAACAGTAAATTTCCTTTCCAATTTTGTAGATCTTAGCCATGCAATGCAATGAAATTCCTTAGTTTATTTCATTCCAGTTAAGTAGTTCATTTTGTAATCGTATTTCAATTAATGAAAATTGCAGAAAATTGTCCCAAAAAAGCTCATTCTATTTTATTGTTTGATTGAGAAAATTCAATTTATAGTCAGTTCCTGACAGTCAGAATAATATCCTATTTCACTTTGGTGTATTTTCTTTGATTATTTTATTATTTTGGTAATTTGACCTTTTTTTGTTTTGTTAAAAATTAGAAATAATAAATAAAAGCAACCTAGAATACTGAATACGCTGAAGAACCCAACTTACGGTCAACCTGCGTTTCCTATAAGAATTATTTCGTCTAGAAGCAGTATTTCTTAAGAACTCTATCTATGTTCCTTTTTATTAAGATAACCTGCAAATTTATGTTTAGTTGACTTTAAGGCTTTAAATATTGTACAATTTTATCCAACACTAAATTCTTATATAAAAAATTAATAATTTAGCGCTAGAAGGAGATAACATTACTTGTTACAATTTTGGCTTGATATGAATAAGATTTTAATTTATTTTAGTATGTTTTTTTGATTATTGTATAAAATATGTTGATTTTGTAGTGAAAAAGCTAAAGAAATGAAAAATAAATTCAATCGGTTTCACCTATAATACAACGTATTACATAAACTTGATACAGTGCGTTTTGGTTTCACAAACAATTCTATTTGCATTTGGTAAGACAAATTTGAATTGCTTTTTAGGAATTTATTAAAACAATAACTTAGCGTGCAATCGTTTCCAACTAACATGAAGACCCCAATTTTGTAAGCAAAATTTAAATAATAATAAAACGGATGGTCTTATAGTTGAACCTGCGGCCACGTTCCCCTATCGCATGAGCCATGAGGCAAGTTTTTTATTATTTGAACAAAAAAATTCAACTATAAGAGCGTTTCCTAGCTCGACATTCTATAAGTTGCTAAGCTTTCTAATTTCGGAGTTTGAACCTGACCAATATTTTCTTTTTCTTCAGTAAATTGAATCATTCGTACATGATCGAAGATGTATAGCAATTTCAAGGAGCAAGCGATTGAGCATTTGAGGCAAGAAGACAACGTTGGTAACTATGCAAAAGCATTTACTCTTTACATGAACGCTTTGGAGTACTTCAAAACGCATTTAAAGAACCTTGAGATTAAGGAGGCCATTTATCAGACAATTAACGAGTATTTGCACCGAGCGGAGGAGATTCGAGCGATGTTGGATGAGAGTGGGACTGGATCGAGTTCGAATGGAAGGGATATGGCTATGGCTGTCAAGCCCAAGATGAAGCTAAAGGATGGAGAAGATGGGGAGGATTCTGAATTGAGGACCGGGCCTAACTCTGTGGTTATCAGGTAAAAATTTAAGGAGTGATCAGTTTCCACCCCATTTGAGCTAGATTCAGTTTTCTAGTTGGTTCTGTAATTGTACAAAATTTTCTTATATGATCAAAGATGTTTAGCAATTTCAAGGATCAAGCGATTGCGTATGTGAGGCAAGCAGGTAACTATGCAAAAGCATTCCCTCTTTACATGAATGCTTTGGAGTACTTCAGAGCCCAGTTAAAGTATGAGAAAGACGACCCTAAGACGAAGATGGCCATTTCTCAGAAATTTGACGAGTATTTGCACCGAGCAAAGGAGATCCGGATGGTGTTGGATTGGACCGAGCCAAGTCTGAATGAAGGGGATGCGGTTGTCGCTACTAGGCCCAAGGATGGAGAAGATGGTGATGATCCCAACAGTCAAAGTTAAGAGCTGGGCTTAACTTTGAGATTATAAGGTAAAGATTTTAATGGGGTGGCCACTGGCCAGTTACAAAGTTTTTGTTTTGTAACTGGCAAGCTCAAGTTTTTGTTTTTGTTTTTTTCAACTACTTTCCATTATATTCATGGAGATGCGTAGACTGTTATTAATCTGTATTGCTGTAAATAAACAAAACAGTAATCTTTCTGAAAACAGAAACAAAAAATTAGTAGAAATAAATTATGAAAATAGTATTTGAACTTCAAAATAAATTTTGAAGCTTTGTAGGAACAAATCGAGCCCACTGAATACACAGTGTGTCCTTAAGGAAATTATTCCCCTCAAGTACCCGAGGTTCTGGAATATATCCTTCTAGGATAGAACGATTTAACTCACCGGAGTGTTGGTACCAAAAACGCCGATGAACAGCGAACCACTCGAAGGCTGTAAAACGCATTGGAATTTTTGTGCAGAAGAAGAAGAAGATCTGAAAATTTCATAAGCAAATATTTAGGGATTAGAAGGTATATTTATAACCAATTTGGTACTGTTTCTGAAAAGGTTTGCAACCTTTCAGAACATCCATAGCTGTTGGAAATTTTTGCGGGAAAATTAAAACATATTTAAAATAATTCGGGAAAGAAAATGGGCCAAATCGGACTGGGTCTCGGGTCATGGGTTATTTCGGATTGAATTTTCGTTAATTAATTTAATTAATTAATTATTTGAAAAGAATTTTGTCCAAAAAGATTAATCAATTAATCTTTGACCAAATTCAAATCTGAAGCCGAGCGAGCGACGACGACGGCGCGAGGCTTGCCTTCTTCTTAGCTCTTTAAGAGCTAAAAGATGAGCTTCTCTATATATACACAAAGATTTTCTTTCCTTCTATCAATGAGGGACAAAGTGCATTAGTCAAGTGAACTCATTCAAAATTTCACTTCCCTCAATTTCTTTTCCAACCATTTTCCATTCACACTTCTTTTGTTATTAATAACAAAATCCAACAATCCCCCACATGAATGGGGAATGGCTATAAACTTAAAGGAATGCACGGACGTGTGTGTATTTCACATGCAAGAATTATTTGCATCTGGATAAGTAGGTTTCCCTTTGAACTTTCCGCAGTGAACTTATATCGGATATACTCGGTCAATCGGCAGATTTAATATCTTTGAACCGTCGAGCTTTGTTGTATACCTAGACAACATAAGTCACACAATCAATCCTTAACCATCTATGGTTCTCACGATTGTGTTCGTTTCAGCTATGAACATTGCCTGGTTTCATGAGTGTTTAGAGAATGAGCCTTTACTTTCATTCCCCTTGAAGCGGCTTACACTTCACACTCACATAGGTGATTACTTTCACATAGGTTTTTACATATTTTTTCCCTCATATGAATGGGTAAAAATTGTGTGGGGTAGCCACTTTTAAAAGTGGTATTTACTTTTTATCTAGCATTTTCAATGCTTAACAATAGTAGCCACTAGTCTATTAAAATTAATATGAAAAGACTGTATTACCCTTTCTTCTATCTCTTTCATGTTAGGGAGAAGAACTGTGCCCAGGGAATTCATGGAGCTACATCAATGACTTAAATTGCTCTATTTTTCGACTTCAATTTTGTGTTCATTGACAGACCTTATAATGGTAGTAGTCTGAGTGTGGTTGGTCGAGTTTCTGAATCGCAAGAATACAGAGAATTGCAAATTATTGGTGGTCTGAAATTTTTAGGCTTGCTCAAGGTGTTGCTATTGCTAGGACTTATTTCTCAAGCAATACAACTGTTATTGTTGAATATAATGTCATTGTACGTCATTACTGATTATTTTTGTTACTTATTTTTTTTGTCTTAACTTTTGGGGGAACAATAAGCTTAGCTCCGAAAAATTGAATGGAGTAATGTTTGATAAATATGTTTCTTTGAGTTTTAGATCTCACGGTTCTTACAAATAATGTTGGGAAAGCGACTGTGATGTTATTGTTTATATGTATGTATATATATATATGTATGTATATATATCTATACACACACACAAATAGCTGCTTGTTTAATGAACTTAGAATTATAATTTCAAAAATTAAGGACATTTGGTCCTAAACTTAGACTAACAAGCTCAAAAGTTAAGGACAATAGGTCCTGAACTTAGGTTAAGAAGCCCAAAAGTTAAGGACAATAGATTCTGAAGTCCTAAACTTACAGTTACAAGTTCAAAAGTTAAGGACATGTAGTCCTGAAGTTAAGTTTAAAAGTTAAGGACATGTAGTCCTGAAGTCCCGAAGTTAAGTTCAAAGGTTAAGGATACGTAGTCTTGAAGTCCTGAACTTAGAGTTTGAAGTTCAAAAGTTAAGGACATGTAGTCCTGAAGTCCTGAACTTAGAGTTACAAGTTCAAAAGTTAAGGACATGTAGTCCTGAAGTTAAGTTCAAAAGTTAAGGACATGAGCAGAAGGGTATTTTCGTACGACAGTTAAAGTTTATTAAAGCTGTGGCTAAAGACTAAAGATATTTTAAATAGTGGCTTAAAAATAAATATATGTGTTATTAGTGGCTAACCGTGCACTTCCCCCAAAAAATAATACTATAATAATTGGGCTCGGGCTCAGCCCGGACTCATCCTAACTAGTTTGAAAGATGTAACAGTTATAAAAATATACTTTCAAGAAAGAAAGGCATCAATCAAAAGTAAATTTAACCATATTCAATAGGAACAAGTCTAATCTATTCAACCTCCCTTAATACCAAAAGTTTCCAATTCCGATTTTCATATAGGGTGTGTTTCTGAGATAAGTGAAGTTTAACTCTATCTGCAACAAGGCAACATTATCACACTCCTAGAAATTACCATGGTAAAAATAAAACTAATATTATAAAACAAACTAACTAAGGAAAAAGAAGAACTAATTACATCATATAAGCTAAGAACCACCCCCTCGGATAGGGGTAAGGTTTGCGTAGATTCTACCCTCCTCAGACCCCACTAATGGTGTCACGACCCAAAATCCTTTATAGGTCGTGATGATGCCTAACGCCATCGTCAGGCAAGCCAACGGTGATTAATCAACTTAGTTACCAATTTTATTATTTTCGAAATCATGAATCCCATTGAATAAGTAATGTAAAATCTAGTACTCATTGAAATTCTGTAATTTTATTTTTCAATTTTCGTATAAGATATGAATTACATGGTGAAATGATAATAATTACGTGAACTACAATAATAAATCAGGTAAAAGCTATTACGACCTTCTCTCTCTACTTATTAGTGGTGCAGAGTTGGCTGCGATCACTTTTTGGCGCCGTTGCCGGGGAGCTAACTGTCACACCTCCTTTTTCCGCACCGCGAGGTGCGTAGGAGTTTTTCCAATTAAAGGACAATCAGAACGGGATTTATTTATTCATTTCAGAGTCGCCACTTGGGAGATTTAGGGTGTCCCAAGTCACC